TCATTATCAGAATGACCCAGGAAGATAATTAACATTCTGCAAGTATACTAAATCATGAGTAGTCGGTAGTACAACCCAAAGGAATTTGGAAAATTTAATCCAATTAAAGTCTATTCTAAAATAACCCACAAAGGGGCCAGCATGGTAGCATAATGGGTAAAGCCTCAGCCTATAACACCAACATCCAATGTGGCACCATTTGTGTCCCTGCTGCTCCACTTCCAATCAAGCTTCCTGCTAATGGGAAAAGCAACAGATGATGACTCAAATGCTTGGGCCTCTGCCATTATGTAGGAGACCCAGAAGAAGCACCTGGCTTCCGATCTACCCAGCTCCAGCCATTACTGGCATTTGGAGAGTGAACCAGCAGATGGAAGATCTCTCCCTCTCTTTCTCTCTGTAACTCCTTCAAATAAATAAATCTTTTTTAAAAAATAAGATGGCCCACATAATAGGAGAGGTGTAAGTATTTCTTTTTTTAATTTAGTATTATATCTATGTATGGCTTAACATTCCCTTCAGATTTACTTCACCTTAAGCAAACTAGTTTGTGTGTGTGTATGCATGTATGTAAATAACCTCTTTTTTTACATTTTAAGGTCTTTGTATAGAATCTTTTTTTTTTCTTTTTGAAGATTTTATCTGTTTATTTGAGAGGTAGAGTTATAGACAGTGAGAGGGAGAGACAGAGAGAAAGATCTTCCATCCGCTCGTTCACTCCCCAAATGGCCACAACAACTGGAGCTGGGCCGATCTGGAGTTAGGAGCCAGGAGCTTCTTCCAGGTCTCCCTTGTGGGTCTGGGATCCAAGCACTTAGGCCATCTTCTTCTGCTTTCCCAGGCCACAGCAGAGAGCTGGATCAGAAGAAGAGCAGCTGGGACTAAAACTGGCACCCATGTGAGATGCTGGTGCCACAGGCAGAGGATTAACCTACTGCACCACAGTGCTGGCCCCTGTAGAGAATCTTGTAACAGCCCTTATTCTTTCTACTTGCCTTCTGATCTTTCTTCACAGAAAATTTTCAGAATTAACAGTCATGACTTGTGCAACTACTTTAAATATTAATATAGTCATGCCTATTTTCATTTTTAAGAATACTTTTTTATACATACCCAATTCTTGAATGTGTTTTTTGAATTTTATTATTTTTATCATAAATGACTTAGAAACCACCCAGTTTTGGCCTATTCTAATTCAGTTAAGTAAACTTTACCTGTGTGAGCATCCTGTTTTCAACCTCTGCTTGACCTGGTCTTGACAACTCGTATGTGGAAATTGCTATCCCGTTCATTGGCTTCAAGGCTGCCTATTTAGAGAGAGAATTTGGGTGTATATAATTTTATTTCGAATACATAGGACTATCTTTTTAAAGATATATTTATTTGAAATTCAGAGTGACAGAGAGAGAGCTTCTATTCCCTGGTTCACGTCCCTAAATGGCCAAGATGGCTGGGAGTGGTCTACACGAAAGCCAGGAGCCCGGACCTCCAACTGGTTCTCCTACCTAGTTGGCAGGGACTCAAATTACTTGAGCCATCCTCTGCTGCCTTCCCAGGGAGCTGGATGAGAAGCAGAGCAGCAGGGACCCCAACTGGTGCTCCAGTACTACTGCCAGCATTACAAGCAGCAGCTTAGCTCACTGCCACGACACCGACCCCAATAAATATTTTAATTTTTACTTCTCAAAATTGTTTAAAGCAGCTATTTTGTATGACTAGATAACAGACTCATAACTGCTTTCAGGTATTTTATCACATGAGCATTTTGTTTCTTGATATGATTTATGGTGAATGTATATTGAAATGAGAGGTAGTTGTGAGTTTTAAAATTCTATAATTGTGTTTCTGTAAAGTATGCCAGTTTCTGTTTCATAACAGAAAATAATGTAACTATGTTGGTCAGGTTATTGTGTAAATAAATTAGATCAAATCAGTTTCATATTGTTTCACTTTCTTTACTAACTGGACGTAGAATTTACCCTGGTCCTCCTTAAAATATGGCTATCACTCAGTCCATGCATGTGGTATACCGTGGAATACCAAGAGAAAAATGATGTCTACCCTCAAGAAGTTTCCAGTGTAGTAGAGGTAGCAAACAACTGCACTAGAAGTTAAAATGCAATGTGATGAGTACTGTGTAGATATCCATGTCTAGTGGTAGGCACAGTGGGTTAAGCCACTGCTTGGGACACCCAAATCCCATTTCAAAGTGCAAGCTTGAGTCCCAACTCCTCTGCTTCTGATTTATCTTTCTGCTAAGTGCACCTAGGAAGGCATCAGATAATGTCTTAAGTGCTTGGATCCCTGCCACCTATGTGGGATAGTCAGATGGAGTTCTGGGATCCTGACTTCAGCCTGGCCCAGCCCTGGCTCTGGCGGGCTGTTGTGAAGAATGAGCCAGTGGATGGAAAATCTCTGTTTCCTCTGTTTCTTCATGTCTGTCACTCTGTTTTTCAAGAAAGTAAATCTCTTTTTAAGCATATATGTCTTAGATATACACATATGTATGTGACTATGACCCTGGAAACATTCTTTTCTTATGTGTTTTATACTATCCTGAGTTGACTTGACTTTTAAAGGTGAGTGAAATAGTTAGAAAGCTGAAAAAAGAAAAGAAAGGTTTTCTAGATAGAGAGAGCAGTATGTTGTTAGCCATTCAAAACTGCTATTTTTATGGGTCAAGACAGTTAAATATTATTTCATGTAGCTCAAGTTAATGTTAAGATAGCAAGAATATGACAACTTTGAGGCATTACTAGTGTCTTGGTATGATTAAAGGATATAATACATTGGAAGGGCAATGAAAGCTGCAAATCATATGGTCACAATTGCTAGATTATAAAGGATTATATGTTCTTGTCTAAAAGTAAAGGAACAGCCCCATTTCATCCTAGAAAAATTAAAGAGAAATACTAATAGATATCAGTGTTGAAATTAAGCTGATGGGGTTGAGGTATCCTGGATAATATATTTATCATCAATGGTGTGATTAATAATGAACTATAATTAGTAATATGGACACCAGTGGTTGCATTATTCCATAGAAATGAGTTTATCTTTTTTTTAATTAAAGATTTTACTTTTTTGAAAGTCAGAGTTACACACAGAGAGAAGGAGAGGCAGAGAGAGAGAGAGAGGTCTTCCAGCCGCTTGTTCACTCCCCAGTTGGCCACAACACCTGGAGCTGCGCCGATCCAAAGCCAGGAGCCAGGAGCTGCTTCTTCCGGGTCTCCCGTGTGGGTGTAGGGGCCCAAGGACTCAGGCCATCTTCTACTGCTTTCTCAGGCCATAGCAGAGAGCTGGATCGGAAGTGGAGCAGCCAGGATTTGAACCAGTGCCCATATGGGATGCCAGCACTGCAGGCGGCAGCTTTACCTGCTATGCCACATCGCCAGCCCCCATGTTATCTTTTAAAGCAGAATTGTACCTTTAATACTTGAATCATTAACCATACCTATTCTTATCTCAAACATAGTGTTTTAAGCATAATTTAACCTTTTCATTTATGAGTTAGAGTTTTATGAGCATCATGCTTTTAATACAGCTTTGCAGTTCATTGTTACTGAAGTGTGATTTGACCTAACAGACTTGCCTTTAGATTGCTTAGCTTTTGTTTTTACTTTTACTTTTCTGTCAGTGATCACTGTAGGAGGCTTAAGGAGCCTACTCTGCTAAATTATTTTACATTCAGCTTTTTGATTAAGACAGTGTAGAAAATTATGGTATGCCTGAGGTTTTATGTACACCTGTTTGCTAAATTTTCTCACTTACTTTTGGGTTCATGGGTGAAATTTCAATAGATATTATAAGTCCAGATTACTAAAGATGTTAGTAAATTAACTTTCTTATGTTACAAATTTACTAAATTCATATTGTCTAACTTTTGAGTGTTGGTAATGATAATTAATTAATTCATGTATTTTTAGTATTTGAGGATGACTCAAAGGAATTAATGGGATCATTCAATTTGAAACTTTGACATAGAATTTACCAGATTAATTCATCCAAAATGTGGAAGTACTCATTCACCAGTAACTTAGCAGATTTAAATTTAGATGAGTACAATTTGCCTGTGTTTCCAATGTCCAACACGGTGCTTTACAATGAATTTTAGGAATCCATGACTCTTTGATGATTGTGGTTTCTCCTTTAGAGGTTTTCTTGGTTTGTAGGAAACTGGAAAGTTACTTAATTGTGTTTCCTGGAAGGATTTTTTTTTTGTTTTCAAGTAATTAGAATTATTGAAAAGTCATCCTGACCACCTTGATGTTTTCTAGGTAATCAAAAATCATGTCACATATATAAAATAAAGATACCTTCAGGCATTTAAAACATATGAGGTATGTTTACTTCAGGTAAACTAAAACATATGAGGAGTCCCAAGACAAATGGTAATGTAATAGCTTTAAAATAGGAATGAACATTTAGCCTAATGTTTAAGATGCCCATATCCCATATCAGAGTAAGTTCAATACCTGGCCCTGCACCTAACTACAGTTTCCTGCCAACACAGACCCTAGGAGGCAACAGTGATGGATCAAGTAGTTGAGTCCCTGCTACACACAGAGCCTGGATTGAGTTCCTGGCTCCTGGCTTCGATCTGGTCCACTCTCAGCTCTTGTGGGCATTTGAGGTTTGAACCAGTGGATGAGAGCTTCCTCTCTCTCTCCAGTCTGTCTTTGTCTCTCTGTTTCTCTCTCTGACGCACACACACACACATACACTGCTCTCAAACAAAAAATAATAAAAAAGAAAAGATTTTAAAACTGAAATATACTATCCAGTTGTACTGATATCTTTTTAAAAAATTTATGTAAGTTTTTGCATAAAATCTAAAATATAAAAAGGTACTAATTAGATATATTTAAGTAGCTTGTTTTCTTTATTCCTTACTGTTTAGCCAGATATCCAGTTTTCATATCTTAATCTTGCTTGTTTTAAACAGTAAAAAATATCTTTAGTGAAATGCTGGTAAGGTACATAAGTTGTTTCTTCTCCAGAGTGAAGTCACCCTGCTGAGAAATGAAGTGGCACAGCTGAAACAGCTTCTTCTGGCTCATAAAGATTGCCCTGTAACCGCCATGCAGAAGAAATCTGGCTATCATAGTGAGTAATGTTCCATTACCCATGGCCTTAGGCTACATCAGTGAATTACTGCCAGAGTGACTGAGCTACCATTAAAAAAAATGTAGACTGCAGTTGCAATATTTCAGATGAAATATCAGAATTTCTGCAAGGTTATTAGGGAATGGGGTGGCAGGTATACTTTGAGAATCTAGAGAATTTTTGTTTTCTATCTTGTTTTTTTGTAGGTGTTATGGTAGATTAACAGAATGAATTAACAAATTTAAAATATGCTGTAAGTAACTGATGGTATTTTATCTTCTAGGGTAATAGTGTCTTAGATTGACAAGGCAAAACACTCCTTCCTTTCTAGCCTACATTTAGTAATGATGAGACTTGGTTTTAATAAGCTGTCTTCACTTAACCATATGTAGTATACGTTTAGTATCAGATCCCATTGTTCCTTTTTGGTTGTCAGCATCATGCGATGTTTTTATTGTTGTGAATCTTTATATTGAGCCTTGTAGTTAGTCGTAAAATACTAAAACAGAACAGTATTTACATTATCTGCTTGTAAGCATTCTCCTAAATGCTTTCCCAAAAAATGAGATTCTTCTGTTTTCAGCATTTTAGAGGTTAATTGTGCTTTTTCCTTTTTGTAATGTCCTTCTTTTTTGATAAGATGCACAGTGTTGGAACCAGCTGTTACTCTGGAATAAATGGCCAATTTTGTCCATCGTGCACAAATTTGTAACAAATAACAGAGTTGGAAATGCATTAGGCAACATTCATAATATATAACCCACAGCTTTCGTTTTTATGATTTAGTGATATTTCAGGATATTTGTAAATGTGAAGATTGTTTCAGCCATATGTATCCACTTCATTTTAATTTGCCAGTGTCAGTAATTCAAAAGAAAGAAACGTTTTGCATTGGTTGCAAACAGTTCCTCAGGTGCTCACGATAAAACTTAATGGCCACCATCTTTACTTGTAGTCATTGTAAGCAGTTTCATCAAAATGGGCAATATTTTTTAATTTAAAAGATTCAGTAGATTTAGCAACTCTTGATTGCCATATATATTTAGAACACTGATTTTTGTCAGTTTTGCACATATAAATCTCAGTTATTTGATGTCTAGTCATTTTGACAGGAAGGTGAAACACATTGTGGAGTAAATTGGAACCATATAGAAATATGTTTGGGATTTATATTAACAATGATTGCTGCAGGGATGAGGCCATTATGGTTCCCATCTGACTTAACAGAATTTCCCGCAGAAGCTACTGAGTTCAGTATTATGCATACATGATTTTCTTAAACAAGAAAGCTCTCTTGAATTTCAGTAGTTTAAAAGGAAATATACAAATGATTTCATAAAATTAGAAGGAAAGTAACTCTTTAGTTGCACTCAGTTCAAAATCATCTACCATTTTTAATCTTTAATAATGTATTATTAGATATTCCCAAAAGTTTTAACTCTATTAGCCAGCAAATGTCAACTATTCATTTTAATTATTTATGAATATAGTTTTAGGTGTATAAATGCAGAGGTTTTTATACCATATACTTAAAAAATGAAAATCTAGTTTAACCAATTTTTAATGAATATATATTATAATAGGTTGTAAGAATGTAAGAAATGAATGATTCATTTCTGTTGTCTGGAAATATTCCTATCTTTGTTGCTGTCTAGTCATTTGGGTAATCAGATTAACTGAAGTAAAGAAAATTCCATCATAAACGTCTTCAGCTCCTGGGAGGTAATTGTTAACTTGTAGAAATTTTTATTTTTTATTTGAAAGGCAGAGTCACGAGAGAGAGGAGAGGAAGAAAGACGTCTTCCATCCGCCGATTCACTCCCCAAATGGCCGCAATGGCTAGGTCTGGGCAGGCCAAAGCCAGAATCCAGGAACTTCATCCTGGTCTCCCATGTGGGTGCAGGGACCCAGAGACTCGAGCCGTCCTTCGCTACTTTCCCAGGCACATTAGCAGGGAGCTGGATAAGAAATGGAGCTTCCGGGACTCAAACCGGTGCCCAAGTAGGATGCTGGCACTGCAAATCGCAGCTTAACCCCGCTACACAACACCGGCCCCACTTTAGAAATTTTAAAGTCATTTCTATTTATGAGCTTGAAATCTTTTAAATAAATGTGACTTCTCTTAAGTATTAAAAGTAAATGTAGAGTTGGATTGAATACGTGAATATTTGTATTGTAAAGAAATTCAGAAATTCATGCTCTTCATCATGTTATAGCACACAGAAACTGTTAATGGTGGTGAGCTGTGATTCTAACTAAATCTTTGAAAACATCTGTGAGGGGCCGGCAGGACATAGTGGGTAAAGCCCCCACCTGCAATGCCAGCATCCTATTTGGGTGCCAGTTCGAGTCCCAGCTGCTGCACTTCCGATCCAGCTCTCTGCTATGGCCTGGGAAAGCAGTAGAAGATGGCCCAAGTCCTTGGGTCCCTACACCCATGTGGGAGACCCGGAAGAAGTTCCTGGCTCCTGGCTTTGGATCAGTGCATCAGCACAGCCCCAGTCATTGCAGCCATTTGGGGAGTGGTCCAGTGGATAGAAGACTTCTCTCTCTCTCTCTGCCTCTGCCTCTCTGTAACTCTGCCTTTCAAATAAATAAATAAATGTTTTAAAAAAAGTGTGAAAGAAAACTAAGATTCAGTGGAAATTAAGGAATATTACAAAATCTTGTAGGTAAAACTAACAGTACTAAGTCCCAGTTACACAATCTCAGTTTTAGCACTGCCCCACTTAGTTTTAACTCTAAAAGACCTGTGCCATATCCGATTCACAGACATAAAAACTACATATTTATGAGGTATACATTCTCAACATATGATTTAAAAATATAAATTCTAAACACTCAGTAAGAATTATTTAAATGCTAAGTGATAAAAACAAGGTGTGAAAGAATATATCTAGTACGTGGTACTGTTTTTAGGATGATTAAAAATAAGCAAAGTTGAGGCCAGAGCTATGGCACAGCAGGTTAAGCCACCGCCTGCAGTGCTAGCATCTTGTATGGGCACCAGTTTGAGTCCCAGCTACTCCACTTGCGATCCATCTCCCTGCTAATGTAGCTGGAAAGAGTGGAGGATGGCCCAAGTCCTGAGGCCCCTGCACCCACATGGGAGACCCAGAAGACTCTCCCAGCTCCTGGCTTTGGTCTGGCCCAGCCTTGGTCTTTGCAGCCATCTGGGTAGTGAACCAGTGGAAGGAAGATTCTCTCTGTGTAACTCTGCCTTCCAAATAAATAAATAATTTGTTTAAAAAAGAAATACAACTATATTGTTGGGGGGGAATAGGCAAAGTTAAATGATATTGCTTAGGAATGTAAGTACATGCCTGTATGATAAATCTACAAAGCAAAAACAAGGGAAAAGTCAGTAATGGTCATCAGCTCTGGCGAGTAGAGGAGCCTCCAGGGAAGCAGCCCTGTTACTGACAATGTTTATTCCGAAGTTGGGGGCTGGGTGCACAGGTGTTCGTGTCAACATTGTGCCTCCCAACTTATTTATGTAATAAATATTTAAGTGTGTTTTACATACCGAATGTTTCACTAAATGAAATTACCAGAATCTGTTCTGTTAAAGTAAGAAAACATAGAAGTGATTTGTTGTTCAGGACTAAATTTTGGTAGATTTATTTTCATAAATACTTAAACTGCCCTTTTCTGAGTATCTTTTCAGTTGCATAGTCTAGAGTTTTATATAGAATTTTATTTGAATCCCAATTAATTCATGCAACTGTAACAGCTGGTGGCATTTAGACTCTAAATATTGCTTATTCTCATGTGTATGCATCATTAGAATCAGGTGTTATAATCATCCAGTAGATGGAAAGTCAGCCAGAGTAAATATGGTTCTGGAGAATGTAGAGGGAATAATTTGAAAATATAATTTGTGGTTAAGAATCTGTTTTGTTTATGGATGTAGTTATAAATTCTTTTTTAATCTTTCAATAAGAATGGCATGTAGACAAACTGTTTTTATGAAATGATTTTGCACTTTAATTGTATCTGTCTCCAAATTCCTATGTATTTTCATCCTTAACACTATTTAGTAAATATTTCCTCAGCCCTGTTCTGTGAGGCACTGGGCACCCAGATGTGTCCTTGGGCTTGTGGCTGGGCCTGCATTCAATCTGTTACAGATAAAGGTGTCCTTTTCAGTTTCTCAGTTCCAGTCAGACCCACTTGTCTCAGTAACCAACTTTGTAAACCCGGTAATGCATTTTTACAGATATTTTAAGAAAATGAATCCTTTTTCTTGTTTCCACTCAGCTGCTGATAAAGACGATAGTTCAGAAGACCTTTCAGTGCCGAGCAGTCCACATACAGAAGCAATACAGCATAGTTCTGTCAGCACATCCAATGGGGTCAGTTCCACCTCCAAAGCAGACGTGGGAGCCACTTCAGTCCTCACCCCGATGGCGGACCAGAGCACGGAGCCTGCGCTGTCGCAGATTGTCATGGCTCCTTCCTCCCAGTCACAGCCCTCAGGAAGTTGATTAAAAACCTGCAGTACAACAGTTTTAGATACTCATTAGTGACTTCAAAGGGAAATCAAGGAAAGACCAGTTTCCGTTTATGCGAAATCTGTGGTTGTAAATTTTTTTTTTTACTTGAAATTAAATTTGGCTCTAAAATTGGTATAGCAGCAGTGGATGATCAGACTGAACAACGGCTTTCAGTCTCTGGAAGAAGACTGACTGATTTTGCTTTTTTATAAATATTGTTAGATTTATTAATTTTTCTGTGCTCAACGTGTAAATTGTATTATAATTCATTGTGGTTTCTTTCCCTTTTAATTTAGTGGTGTTTTAATAAATGGGGGTGTTACTGAATCTTTCTTCCCACTTCCATTTCTTTTGACCACTGTTTAGCCCTCAACTGTGATGGTAGCATTGTCATCGTTTATACCAAAGGTCTGCATAGTCCCCGTTGGCTTTGTGACGTTAACAAAGTCAACAAGAACTAGGCAAGAGAAAGAATTTGCTTTTCATCTTTTTGCCTTTTATTTTGCACATTATGCAAAAGGAAAAACATTAGAGAACACTTTTTTTAAGTGAGTGAAAACATGGTGAAAGACATACAGTGCTTTCATGCACATTCTTAAACTAAATCAAGGTCATTAATTAATAAGAGTACATTTTCTTTTTTAAAGATTTTTAAGTAGACATAAATTTTGGAATCTTCAGCATTTCAAAAATGACTTTATTTTTCAAGTCTTAAATTCAGTATTTTAAACCTATGTTTTGAGGCTAAAATATGAAATTATATAATGTACAATACAGGGTTATCAGATATCTAGTAATTTTTTAAATTAGCTCTTGTTTTCAGGCTTTTTTGTTTGTTTTTACAGATTTCAGGTTACAAACTGAGGAGTTTATGCATAAATCAAGTATGGTATGGGTGCCAGAGAAGCCTAAAATTACTACGTAGAAAATTGAAGACTGTTTACCCCCATTGTCTTGTAATTGCGAGCTAACTTGTACTTATTCTTGTGAAAGCACTGTCATCTTTTAGTAGCAAATTTTGATAACGTTTCTTGTGGAAAAAAAATCAGTATCTATCTTTAGAACAATGTAATTATAATGTGGGGAGTATGAGTGTGTGTGAGAGAAAGGGTGTGCTTGTCGTGTGTATGTGTGTCTTTCAGTAGTTTATGCCAGCAATCTTTGCTTGAATGTTTAACGATGCCTTCAGTGTGATGCTGGCCAATAGATGATTGCAGTTTAAAATGTCATTACTGTGCAGGCTTGGATAACTAACATTCCATGATGTAGCTTGTTTCTTGATGAGATGATTGTAGGTACACTTTTCTCATTATCCAATCATCTGTGGGATACTGAGTTTTCTAATGTGCCATTATCTATTTTTATTCTGCAGTTATGTTCAAAATACAGTACAATATTTTAAATAGACAAAATTGTTAAACATAAAAATAAAAAAGTAGATGTGCGTAAGAAACCTTTGTAAAATAGTTATGAGTCCTACCCAGTAGCAACTTCTGGCATTCAAGCAGGATTCCATTATGTAAATATCTGTAATGCATTTATAATAAGTTGTGTAGTTTGTTCTGCATCCATACTACACCATTTGCTAAAGTCTCAGTGCCATCTCCTAATGAGACTGACATTTAAAAAGCCTAGATGGAATATCCTTGATAATTCAGGGAAATATCCCACTTGCCTAAGTTCCAAACTGGGAAACATTCAAATTATTCAAATGACATTTCAGGACTTTTAAGTATGAAGATAATAGGAATTTTATTGTTTGACTTATTAAAAATGAGAGCGTTTTTAGTTGATAATTCTTGTAAAAAATTTTTTTATTTTCAACCGACTTCATAATTTTAAAGTAATCAATTTCTCATGATGATTTTGTTGTAGTTATGCTAAGGAGTTGATCTCAAAGGCACAAAATATGAATTCTGCAAGAAGGCTATTTTTATCGTAGTTTGGATGGGTTAGGAAAAGCCTCAATTTTTCACTCTCCTAAATCCTTCAGTGCATTTCTTCCATCTTATTATTTATGCAAGTTAAAGTTCTTTGGTAACAGAATTCTTGCAACTGTAAAATAAATCCACATAGATGTAAGAAGTTATGTAAACAGTTAATGAGCTTACCAAGGTTAGCAAAACTTTCATTGTAAATCAATCTGTACTCAGCAAGTAAAAATCATTATTAGTTGTATAAACAGAAATTCCAGTTTGACTTTCAGGATGTCACACTACTTCTGTACCTAGCATTTTGAGTCCTTATATTTGCAATGTTACACAAACTGTACTATTTTCTTTTATGTGCAGTTTGCATGAGTAAACCATCAGAGAATAAATTCTATCTTTAAATTATGTTTATAATTTGCTTGTTTTTACCTCTTTCACAGTTTGCTTGATTTTTTCCCCCCTTAGGGTATTTGTTACCTGAGAAGAACCTGAGATGCTTTGTATTTCCATGATGAAATATGCTTTATGTTTCTGTGTTAAAATTCATTCTCTCTTGAAGACCTTTCAACTGCAGGGTGCTTGAACCTTGTTCCCTTCTCTGCATTCCCTTTAAGCCCCATCCTGTACAGTGAACCTTTAATTTATGTCCCCCACCTGAAACACTCCCTGACTTTAACCACAGACCCACTTGCCCTTGGCATCTCAGTGACCTCCTAGCAAAACATCTTAAAGGTAACATAACATATCTGACACTGAACTAATCTCCCCTCACCCTGCCCTGAAACACACTCCACCCTTCCCCCCAACACCCACACAGTCTTTCATAAATCAATTGATGACAACACAGTTCTTCCAGTTGCTTAAACCAGAACAAGCTTGTCATTGCCCTTGATTCTTCTTTCTCACGGCTCACATCCAGCCCATCAGGAAACTGTTTGCTTTACCTTAACTGTATTCAGAAGGCAACTACTTCTCAGCTTTTCCACTCACCCAGATTACGTATCGCATGGCTTTCTGTCACTTCCCCTACAGCCCACTCCAGCAAGCAGAGTGACGCTTTTAATACCTGTGTCAGGTTACAGCAGCCTGCCTGCCTGCATGTATCACTCAGGAGGGGCTTGAGTCCTGCAAGGCCCTCGCCAGTGTACTCTCCGTTCTGTCCCGCGACGTCTCTCACCTCGTCTCCCACCACAGTGGACGTCTGAGTGCCAGGACGGGCCAGATGTTGTTCCAGGCACTCGAAATGCCCCAGTGGCCCAAACCAAAACTCCCTGCCTTTGTGGAACTTACGTTCTAATGAGAGTAAAGGAAGTGTTGGGAGACGGAATCAGTAAATCAATTGTGTATTAGAAGTGGTAAGTGCTAAATGAAGATAGAGACTTAACACCGGTTTTGCTGGCGAGCACGTGCGCTGACGTTTCAGTCATGTTTAAGATGGCACCAATCTGAAGAAATGGAAAGAATTTGATAGCTGTTTTTCAGTGTACACATTCTCCTGATTATGTGATGATAGATAAAAAGGTTTGTGAAGCCTCACTGATATTTTTGTAACAAATAAGGTTCAACAAATGGGTATATGAAAAAATCAAACTCATTTCTATTTGACCTGTTTCAGAGGACAGGAAAGAAAACCTGCTGCCTCTGATGTATACTTCCTACTCAATGTATTTTCACTGATTCCACATCTATGAGACTATATGCCTGAATTCTTTTTTTGAGAATCCCATTTATTCCTAGGCCTTCATCTTAGATAAATATACACATGCACAAGCATGCTCACAAAATACCCAGCAAACAAAGTTATCAAAACAAGTAGTCTTGAAATAAGTCTCTGGGGGCATAATTCTTAAACCTGACATTTTTCGAGATTGTCTTAACCACAGAATAATTTTGAGGCAAGTGAAATTTTACCATCTTGTTTGAGCCCAGTATATGTACAAGTGAACTTTTTCCATAACTCTCTTAACATGGTTTAAAAAAACATAAATCCAGGGGCTGGTGCCGTGGTTCACTTGGCTAATCCTTCGCCTGCAGCGCCGGCATCCCATATGGGCGCCAGGTTCTAGTCCTGGTTTCTCCTCTTCCAGTTCAGCTCTCTGCTGTGGCCCGGGAGGGCAGTGGAGGATAGCCCAAGTGCTTGGGTTCCTGCACCTACATCGGAAACCGGAAGGAAGCACCTGGCTCCTGTCTTTGTATCGGCGCAGCTCCAGCCATGGTGGCCATTTTGGGGGGTGAACCAACGGAAGGAAGACCTTTCTCTGTCTCTCTCTCTCACTGTCTATAACTCTACCTGTCAAATAAAAAAATAAAGTGAACTTTTAAAAAGTAAGTCCAGATTATCAGTAACTGTAGATTAAGACATGGGTTTTCATGAAGGCAAAATATTAAGATCCTAGAGAGCTAGCACCCTATGTAGGGGGAAAAATGTAGAATAAAGTTCTCTCTGAAGAAATAAATAGTTCTACCACTTAAATGCTATGCTGTAAGTTACATACATTGCCACAGAAAAAGTGCAATCATGGAAAATGTTTCCAGAATTAAAGGGCTGAACCAGAAATAGGAAAGGCCATGTAACTTTTGGAAACTATAATGAAAAACACAGCATAGTTTTATTCTAGTAAAGCAGTCCAAAGCACCAAATCAAAGGTTAATTGTAAAATAACCCAGTATGTCAAGCTAAAAGGGTTCTGCTAATAGCCAATAGCATGGGTCTTTTTCCTTCAGTTCACATGCAGGTTCTTCCAGCAGCTTTCTGGGAAGAGAAGATATTTGACTTTATTATGGCCACCAAACCCTTCCCTTTCCTCTTTATTTTGCATTAGATTTTACATTGAAGACATCATTCCTTGAGATAGAATTTTTTGTAGCAAAACATTTGCTGTGGCTTTTTCACACACGCATTACCTGTTATTTGACAAAGTATTTCTGATGCTAACTTTCCTATATTTATAAGAATTGACTTACTTTATTCACTTAATTTTGCGATAAGTTTTGCTTTTCTGTGGAGGTAGACAAAAGAAGAGACTGCTGCCCCCAAAAGAGCTCTTTTTAAGTTATTTTTACTTAATTTTTTCAAAAGGCAAGTGAATTAAGTAGAGATGCAGTTTTTCTTAGCCTGACAAAAAATGAAGCAAAAAATATTTAATACAATTTATGTAGCAGAATTTAAGATGATAACATAATCTGTTATTTGTTTCTCCTAATTGGAGACAAATACATCACATATTGTTATGAGAAAATGAGAAAACTTATCAAAAATAAACTGCATTATACATTAATTCCTCAATATCCTGTTTTTCTTTCACGAGTCATTTTTTTATCTCTAAACAGTTCATTTTTAGGAGATGTGCTTGTTTAAATTCATTGGCATAGGATCTAATTAATTTCAGCTCAAATGAAAAGGAAATATAACTATCTTTTTGTAATTTGAGCACTTAAAAATTATTCAACACATAATTATTGACTTCCCCAAATGGCTAAATCCATAGTAAAACACCTCCTGTGTTATCTCTTAATTTATTCAATGCAACTAGTGATTTCTGCGGTGACTTCCAGCACCATGAGGCAATCTGCTGAATCAGAGGTAACCATGTCAGTAGCCTGTTAACTTTCTGCAAACAAAGCTCTTCGGATCTTCTCCCTGACGCTGATGTCCAATTCAAATAAGGCTGCAATTCTTTATGGACTAGAGTAGATTTGTTGCAAGGTAACATTAGATACCATTTTGAAAATAAGAACGTATGCTTGCATCAGCAGCACATACACTGAGAAGGATATTAGCATGGCGCCGTGCAGGGATGACAAAAAGGAAAATGATATGCTTCCATTGTCATTTCCATTACCAGGTGTGTTCTCTGTTATAGTTTGGATGCCACCAAAGGCCCATGTGTTGGCTTGGTCCTGGAGATCTTAGAGATTTTTTTGCTTGTTTTTTAAAGATTGGTTGGTTGGTTGATTTGAAAGGCAGAGTCACAGACAGAGGGAGAGCCATCTACTGATTCACTCTTCTAATGTCCACAACAGCCACGGCTGGGCCAGGCAGAAGCCAGGAGCCCAGAATTTCACCCAATTCGCTCACGTCAGTGACAGGGGCCCAAGTGTTTGGGCCATCTTCCTCTGGTTTTCCTGGCTCATTAGCTGGATCAGAAGCAGAGTAGCCAGGACTTGAATCGGTAGTAGGGGCCCAGGTACTTGGGCTATCTCCCGCTGCTTTTCCAGGTACATTAGCAGGTAATTGGATCAGAAGTGGAGCAGCTGGGACTCTCAAACCATTGCTTATTTAAGATGCTGGTGTCACAGGTGGCAACTTAACCCAGTGTGCCACAACACCACCCCCCTGAAGTCTTGCATTAACAGCTAATAGATTAAAGTTACTGGTTAATGTGTGCGGTGGCGGGGCGGGGGGGGGGGGGGGTAGCAGTTCCTCAGAGGGTTGATTGTAAAGGCCAAATTGAGCCTCCCTGTCTGCTTCCTGGCTCGCCATGTGACCCTCCCTCTGCATGTGTTCTGCCATCGTCCTCCAGCCTCACCAAGGGCCTGAACTGGTGAGACCTACCTGATCTTGGACTGTGATAAGTGAAAAAACCTCTTCCTCCCCAAGGAGCTCTTCTCAGGTATTCTAGTTGAAGGAACAGAAAGCTGACTGATAGAGAAAACTGTACCAGAGAAGAGAGGTTGTCTATTGACTGCACCTGGAAATGGGGAGGAGCCTTTGGAACTGGTTTACCAGACACAGTTGGAAGAGTCTGGAAGGAGCAGATTAGAGAAAGGCCAGAATGCTGCAAGCAGAGCATTATGGGTGATTGTGCTGAGGGCTTACCAGAATGCTGGTAGTGATGTGGACGCTAAAGGCTCTGTTGATGGAGTCTTCGATGGAAATCAGCCTTCTAGTGGGAATGCGGACATGGTTGCAAAGAATTTGGCTTTTTTGTAGCTGTGTCCTGAGACTGGGAGGCAAAGAAGACTGCAAGTCAGCCAGTAGTATGGGTGTTATTGACAGCTGTTAGTTTTAGCTGTTAGTTTTACAGTGAGAGGAGCGAAAAGGAGCAGAGCAGAAAGACAGGGGAAATTCGCAGCCTGGCAGGGGAAGGAGAGAAGAAGCAGCGTGTTCAGGACAGGAGAGTGAGGCAGAGAAACCTCTTGCTAAAGAGATTAGCACAAGTAAAAGCCGTATGTAACTGGACAATGAGAGAAAGGTCCCAAAGGCATGTCCGGTCTCGTAGACAGCCCAGAACCCCAGAAGTGCCATTTGTTTCAAAGATCATCCAACAGTGCCAGTTCAAGTCCTGGGTACTCCACTTCTGATGCAACTCCCTGCTGCTGCACCTGGGAAGGCAGCAGCAGATGGCCCAAGTGCTCAGGTCCCTGGCACTCCTGTGGGAGACCGAGATGGAGTTCTGGGCTCC